TATGTAAATTGTTAGTTTCATCTGTGTATTGTGTGGCCCATTTCTCGGAACTTGGGTGGAAATAATTTTCTTTGCTACTGAAGTGTCAAACAAGAGTTTTATTTGTCATGCGTACATTTTGCCTGGAAACTGTCTGGGATTGTGTATGATTGTGATTTCACAGGCATTGTGTACTGGAGATTGCGGAGAACGGTGATATTTGAAGTGTTTGTTGTGTAGTGTTGTGTAGTTTAGCTATTTCTTTTGCAATTGATTCCCCGTTATCGTTTCCAAAACTTTCAAGGACATGGTTCATGGAGTTTCCTCGGTTTTCCCAGGCACCGCCCTGTACCCAATCAAACCATTTGTAAAGCAGTTAAAACAATTTTATGGATTCACCACAATAAGTGTGCTTGCATTTTATACACCGTTGATTCTTTTAAAATTATCTAGATTGTCGTTTTTAAGTTTATATTTGGAACTTTGATGATGTTTATGTATCAAAATGTTACCCAGGCCCCCTTACTGAAAGAAGCTGAATCGTGTTGACCTTTCACCCAATCGTGAGGTTCCTATATAATCTTAAGACTGCCGCAGACGGTCTGCGACGATCTGCGACGATCTGCGGCACTCTAAAAGTTTTAATGGAAACATATATCTTAAGGTCTCTGCGACGATCTGCGACGATCTGCGACGATCTGCGACGATCTGCAAAAAGTTGAACATGTTCAACTTTGTTTCTCTTGCAGTACCTTCCCGGCGCTTCCAGATCATATGGGAACATGGGTTGCAGACGATCTATAATAATTATAATAATAATAATAATAATAATATAATAATAAATAATTTATTTAAAGTTGGCGTACTAAATGAACGGCTGATAGCTATAAAGAAGCTAATTAAGGCCAACTATCTATAAAGAGTTAGTATGGAATAAAAATATATGATACAATATTAAAAAGGTTTAAGGTATAATGTTCTAAATAAAACCTAACCCAGCAATAAATTTTTTACACAATCTACAGTCGCATTCTATAGGGTGTGCTCTTAATTCTTTTTTAAATGTTGCCAATGATTGGGACTCTCTTATACTGTGAGGTAGTGTTTGCCACAGTTTTTGACCTAAATATCTCACAGTTTCTATACCATAAGAAGTTGTCCTGGCTTTTGGAATGCAAAGATTATTTTTAGTTCGCAAACCATAATGTACATTTCTTGTTTCAAAAATCTCACTCATGAAACTAGGGTTCAGGTTATGTTTGGTTTTGTATATTTCTATCATCAAGTACTGTAGATTGCGTTGGTGAATTGATACTGCATTATCCAAAGTCAGCAATGCTTCGTAGTCAGCATGACTGTCTTTATAAACAGTTCTGAGTGCTCTTTCGTGGATTTTATTTACTTTAGCATTCAGACATCTGTCATGGAACATCCAAATTAGGGGGCAGTAACTAAACTGAGCTGCGACGATCTGTGACGATCTGTGACATGCCCTTGTTGACAAATACCCACGTGCATTCTGTCGTCCAATCAAAACCTCTCTTTTATATAATCCCGCACTTTAGCTGATTAAGATCTACTTAAAAATAAGACCGCCGTGATTTCTCTTCTTTATTGTTTAGTTTGCATTACATTTTAGCAACAGGAAGCAACGTCTATTATTTATGACAGGGGTATTCATGAAAACTGATTAAAATGTTATTTCCTTTGCGCCTTTCTTCTAAGGAGTCTCCGATTTTATGCATTTGAGAAGGCAAATTAAAGGTATAGCAAATAAATAGAGACAGAAACAGCCGCAAAATCTGCATGAACGCATTGCTTTGTTTCCTCAATAGGTCGCATTGCTTTGTTTCCTTTCCTCTATCTTTGTATCGTATTACATACTGGAGAGTCGGGGCTAACTAAGGTGTTTTTTCGGGGGGCGAACATAATATATGCCAAGTACGTGGTGGTTTTAGGAATATATGCCAAGTACATGGTGGTTTTCATTTTGGGAATCGTTTGGGGCTTTAGTTTCCCCCCACTTTCTCTGTCCCTGTAACTACCATGCCAAATATGTTTTGGTTTTAACATCCTTGTTCGTTTGGATTTATTTTTCAGAGCATAAGACAGGAAAAGATTAAACGAGAAAAGAAAAGATTGATAAAAGAAGGAAAATGGCCTCCCAAGCCTGAGAATACTACTGCAACGACTGTCACAGCCAGCAATTAAAGTTTGGACTCCAATTTTGAATTGCTTCATTGATTGTCTTCTCGTGTTGAATATCGTTTGTGCATTGAAAACCTTTGTTTGCTTGAATAAAATTTATTTTACAACAAATTTCATCCATTATTCTTGCCTTCTTATAAACTTCGTCTGCCGCTGCCTCAAAATTCACATTTAACTGCCTTTTTCACTAGGGTAATCGATTGACTTGGAATATCATATAATATTCTGTTTTGATGAATTGCAGCTTCAGAAACCAATTGATATTGACATCAAAGTTATTGCATATCTTCTCTTCCTTTGAACAGTGACTGATATCAGCAGTTTTATTATTATTTATTTTACTGAATCCTCTTCAGAGCATTTTAAAGAGTTTATAGGGTGGGGAGAAATTTACAAAGGTGTACATCCTTACCTTCCTTTGCTAACATTACGTCACAATTCACCATTCATTTTGTCGAATGGATCACTCTTTGACTCGACTCGACTTGATTTGACTTGCTTTGTTAATTTTACCATTATACATCGACTTATGCATGCATGGAAAACCTTTATGTTCTATATAAAGGCGGAAATCAACCCCCCCCCCCCTAATCCACCACATTTCGAAACCCATCTCAAACCTTGCACCGTGAAACAATGGCAGATCAAATCGAGTTATTTTGTTGTTGCCGACTTAAGGCAAGGGATATACTGATAGCCGTCCTTTGCAATGAACGGAAAATTTTATAAAGCAGACTATCTCACGTTTTCAGCAGTCTTGTGTCCGGAGTCTCTTGCAATTAAAAATCCAAGAGAGGGGGGGGGGGGGAGAAGGGATTGCAAAAATGTCTCCAGAAGCAGTAGAAAATTGTCTGGTTTTCGTCTCTTGTTCTACAACTCTGTTTGTAGGGTGTGGTGAGTACCAAGTTTTCTTGGTCTTTGGCATTCCTTCATCCATTTGGAGTCTGATGGAATGCATACTGCGTCATTTTTTGGTAACCATTGACGTTGCCTGCAGTGTTTTATTTTACAAATTGCTGCCTGGTTTTACATTAGTACATTAGTCACTTCAAACACACTGCCAACGACGACTGCTATATCAGGCTAATCTATAACGTAACACACTTGAACCGTCCGTCAGCAGGACAGAAACATTTTTGGCATGTTGTTACTATGTTGATGCTGGGTCTGACTTGCCAATTGATAATTTGATCCAGGGTAAGAGTTCATCAAAGTCGTTATTTCAAAGCTATTATAAACAAATGATGAGGCTTGGACTGTATATCTTTCCAGTTTGGCAAAGAGCCCATCGCCGTGGCCTATGTTTTTTAGTCTTTTTGTTTTAATTTGCTTTTTAATGATCGGTCTTTGATGTCATCAAATTTCGATTGAGTGAATCTTTTCGCTCATCAGGAATATTTTCATATAAGCATACATACTTTAATTTCCCGCTTGAACTGCCCGTGGCACTGGAATATCGTTTATCTAGAAAAGCCAATAATAATTGGACCCAACCATGAAGCCTGGAAAACAACACAATCAAAAATAACCTTGCTAGTCCCGAGGAAAAGCTTTAGACAGAAACCAGATTGAATCATCCTGTACTTTAATTGATCTATTCCCGTTACCCTTTGTGGTCTGGCGCTGGGGGTTTCCAAACAAGCAACTTTTTTAATGAATAATTTTGGTTGTAAGCGTCACAGCCAACATTGTTGGTGAAGTAGCATACATTTTGGTACCCTCTTGAAAATGTATACACATTTTTTTAGTAACGCCAAAAACCTCTAATTCATTAAGGACCTAGAATATGATTAAGCGGGACCTGGTTTCATAGATGGAGTTTTGTTTAACAACGAACGTAATGGATAAAAGTTTTTAATTAAAGTTGAACAATAAAATGGGTCTGATTCTGATATCCTAGATTTCCAATGATTAGAATTATTTCAAAATGAAAGCCTAAATCTTCAGGTCAGCTTTTTTATGTTTCGAACTTATCTTTGTTTTCCTTGAAAGCAAAAGAGCTAGACCAACTACACACGAACTTGGGGTCTCGAGCCCCTTGGGATTTTTTCATTTGAGACTTTCATTGTAGCTTTTTTTTGAAGAACAGACTTTTGGAGAACACAACTGAATCAAACATGCTCGAACGCGGAAGGGTTGCTCTAAAGGCCTGCGCCAAAGAGGAATCCAGAGGACCATATCCCCTTATTTTTCGTTTTATAAAATATCTAAATCAGACCTAATTTTTCATATAGATAAACCTTTAGATTATAATATATACATTGAGCCAAAACCAACAAGTAAAGCAGTGTAAGCAAAACTCTCTTTTCACAATGGTGGCTAGATGGGGCAGGGCCTGGCTCCGAGAAGCGAAGGCAATCGAGCCGCTTTGAACCGCTTTTACAAACGCAGTGAATTTACTGAGTTCCTTGTATAAATGGCATTTTCACCTTTGATTTTTATACAAATCGTATCCGATTCGAAATTTTTAGATACCTGAAAAGTCGAAAATATCACTCACAATAGAATACTGGTGTGGCGTCATCAAAAATCTATTTTTAGAATTTTCTAGTTTTGACCACAAAATCAGAAAAACGACATAAAATACTTTTAACTATACAAAATCAGCTAGATGTGTTCAAAATCGGGTGATATACGGTCAATGAAAGATTTCAACTTTGCTAACGGATACTGTTATTCTTTTCTGGTTTATAGATTTATGATTAACTAACGACATTTATCGCAACTTTCCGCAAACTCTTTCTCATATGTCCAGAGTTAAATAGATGGCAGACCCTTTCAGAAAGTAGGAGAACAAAACAAACAACACAATATCATTCTCTACTGACCTTGGTCAACAGCTTCAAATGTACAAAAGTTAAAAATGGAAAACATAATTAGGGAGCAAAAAAGTATCTTAACCAGTACTTTGCTTATTTTCCGAAACGTCTGCGCCAAGAACGTCTGCGCCAAGATCTTCTGCGCCAAGAACGTCTGCGCCAAGATCTTCTGCGCCAGTAACGTCTGCGCCAGGATCTTCTGCGGAAGCTACGTCTGCGCCAGGATCTTCTGCGGAAGCTACGTCTGCGCCAGGATCTTCTGCGGAAGCTACGTCTGCGCCAGGATCTTCTGCGGAAGCTACGTCTGCTCCAGGATCTTCTGCGGAAGCTACGTCTGCGCCAGGATCTTCTGCGGAAGCTACGTCTGCTCCAGGATCTTCTGCGGAAGCTACGTCTGCGCCAGGATCTTCTGATGAAGCTACGTCTGCGCCAGGATCTTCTGCGGAAGCTACGTCTGCGCCAGGATCTTCTGATGAAGCTACGTCTGCGCCAGGATCTTCTGCGGAAGCTACGTCTGCGCCAGGATCTTCTGATGAAGCTACGTCTGCGCCAGGATCTTCTGCGGAAGCTACGTCTGCGCCAGGATCTTCTGAGGAAGCTACGTCTTCGCCAGGATCTTCTGAGGAAGCTACGTCGGCGCCAAGATCTTCTGCGGAAGCTCCGTCTGCGCCATACAGGATCTGATACAGAGCCGTCTTTTGCTATTTGCTCAGAATTGTCTAAACGAGACCATTTACAAATATCAAGAAAGACCTAAAAAGTTAAGGAAAGAAACGCCCCAAGGAGAATCTGCGGTCAATTGAGCGTGTAGCTAACACGCTTCTCTGTGGATTCAAATATGCATGATTCAATAGGGCCCAAGACAATTCCGGAATCACGATTTTAACGTCTCAAAGATCGGCCCAGCCTTACATCGAATTGAATATTTGCATATCTATTTGCATATCTTGTCGTTTTCAACAAAAGTGCCAAGAACTATAGACCAAAAGTTAAAAGTCTATAGTACCTTCAGATAATTCAGTGTCCTCTTCCGGTTCTGTAGCATCATTTTCCTCTTCCGGTTCTGTAGCATCACTTTCCTCGTCTTCAGAGGGCTCTTCAGCTTCTGGGTCTTCCTCTTCTTCGCTTGCAGAATCTTCCTCTACATCAACCTCTTCCGGAACACTCTTCTCCGCCACCTCGTTGGTGTTTTCCTCGACAGTTGCACCTAAAAGATTAATTTAATCCCGGTGTAAGCTTAACTATTGAAGATTGTTACTTAAAAAGATCACAATGGCATTTGCTAAGTAGGAATTTTCTTACGTGAACACTTTGATAAAAAGCTGCATATTCAAACGATGTTTTAACTTTGTATTACAAAGCAAAGTATTTGACCTAGTCTTTCTATTCTTTCTTTAAATAGGGTATTTTGAGCAATGATTGTCTGGGAATAAACTTCAGCATCAAGGTTTATACGACACGTAACATAGCGTGTAAGAACACAGATTATAGAGCGTTTGGCGTGGCGTCTTTGCTTTGAAAAATTAACAAAAAACATTGCGCTTTACTCCAAAATTCCATTTACTTACCAGTGAAGCCAGGAGTTATTTACTGTATAGCAGCTATACATTCAATTTAACAGGCACCATCCAACAGCCCCACCAACGATCGTTCTAAGCAAATCGTTCAAAAACTCTATCTTAATAATTTAAACGAGTGCATGGATCTTTCTTCGCCAGTGTCTTTACTAAATAATAGCAAGCAAGGCTGCACCTACCGTTGGTTGAAATGACGAGTCCAAGAAGGACACAAAACAGCAACACGGCCTTCATCTTGGAACAGGATCACAGCGTTCTCAGCCCAAACCTGCCCTAGCACCAATGTTCCCACACAGAATATCTCTATTCTGTGCCTCGAACTGCTAACACAGCGCGATTCTGTTCATTTATACCCTCAAATGTCGACTTCCGGTTGGCATGGATACTTTTTGACCAATAGACTGCCCTTTCTGCTGTCACAACCAATCACTAATCTGTTCCACGCCCTTGAGATGTTGCCTAGCAGAGATGTTGACGAACTATATACCGCAGGGAGGGATCTCTTTGAATGAGATAAGCACAACACTCTGAGAACAAACAGCAAAGAAAAAATAAGGAACTCCGTAGATAGAGATAACTAATGGATAACTAACTTTGTGCCCAAGCATACTGGGCTTCACCATTGGGCTTCTCCGAGCACATGGATTACTTTGTTCGAAATCATTTTTATCATAATGTTCTGACCCAAAATTCTGTAAATCCTTGAATTAGGCCCCCTGAGGCATACTAATCTAGACACTCATTAGAGTAGGTTTAAACCAAACATCAAGTTGATAGACGAAATTTTGAATAATTGAAAAATTATTACGAAACGTGGACGATATGTCGTCGTAGTGCTCTGTTCGATTTTTTTGCACTACAGCAAAGCGAAGAAATGAAATTCGCGGGAAAATTCGACGACGAATGCTTGTTAAAAGTTTTGTGATTTTGAAAAAGGCTTCTTAAAGGAAAATCTATCCCAATTGCCTTTTCCCACTGCACTTTCGGGCCTGTTTTATTATAGGGGCCCTTTTTAACGAAACCACTTTTCAAGTTAGATTGGGTATTACTGCGTGTCTCGTCTCAGATTCTAAATATCCTGGCGATATTGAATATGGAAGCTTAGAGAATAATTTGCACAAGAAAAAATAGACCACTACGGCAGTCGCTATGAAAATTTTGCAAATTCTAGGCGATTTTGATACGGAAGCAATGTTCCTACATGTTTTAAGTCAGATAATCCCAGATGCATTGATTTGATTCTTACAGATAAATCTTCCTCTTTTAAAACTCATGTACAGTTGAAACGGGAGTATCGGACTTTTTTCAACGATTGTTACTATATTGAAAAGTAGTTTCGTTTAAAGGGGCCCCTAAAAGGAGATTATCGCAAATTCGATGAAAATAGATCCAACAGGCGCTCATGGAAAGTCTTTGTAACATGAATAATGGGGAAACTGAGTATTCAAAACCAGAGGTGAACACGCACTCGTCATCATGACAAAAACCCTAACAAAAAGGACAATGCTTCGATCAAAGCTGCGTAACAAATGTAAGAATCGCATATAACCGCAGCGCATATGGGTACTTATCAGTGGCGTAGCGTGACTTTTTCAACTGGGTATGCTCTATTAAACAAAAGGGTGGGGCAGGGTGTGGCTTGATGGGGCTTGATGGAAATAGGAGGGATAATAGGAAGATTAAAGGGACTAGCTATTGACAATTTATCTAATTTTCTTTCTGGTTCGGTTGGCAAGTACTGCACTATCAGGGCATTACTATGATGAAAACGATACTTTGCTAAAAAACTCAACGCTAATATACTGTTCGAACTCATTCATTGCATCAAAATACCACTAACCATTTCATCAAATGTAATTCAAATCAAAATGTATCATTGAAAGTCAGTAAAATTTTGCTAGTCGAAATATGTCCCAATAGTTGTTGTTGAATCCTCTAAAATTTGCACTGATGTAAAGAGGAAGTAACTGTAAACACCTTCTCTTGATACCTTAATACAAAAGGGCTTTCAAAAGTTATTCACATAGGGCATTACACGAGTTATAAATATTTTGTGGTATGCAGTGGATGCAGTCTAGACTTTTTTTCATGGCTTAATCGTGATATTTTCAATACAAGTTATTGATTGAAAGAATCGAAGGTAATGAGACGAGACTGCACAATAAAGCAAATAAATGGGCTCGAATAATGCAAACAAAATAGGCAAACAATATAGGTGAATGTACCAGACAACTATAAGGAAATTATCCAGGGCTATCTGCATTTACTTTAATTCTATCACATAATACAAACAGAAGCATCCCTGATTGACAAGCAATTTCAAGAGGCACAGATCTAAGTCAGTGTAGCATTATGTAGAAGCCTACCTTTCCTTTCCACTTTGCTGTTGGTAGGTTAAGATTAGGGGTCAAATGAGAGAATGATTATTAAACAGTAATACGGACATTGCAATAGCTTTGAATGAAGTCATGTTTACTGTTTTCGATGAAGATCCACCACTCCAACCGCTCCGACGTCCATTAACTGTTTATATCGATCTCAAAACGAGACTATTTTGAACCAACTTTGAGGCTGTACGCTGCATATTTCTTAGCGTACAAGACCATTGTTTTAGCTGATTAACGGCAAATATTATTCATGGAAAGGAGCATTTTGATTGGTTAAAGAACCGTCTAGGGTATTCACTGCGTATTCATGACCTATCTCCATTCAACATGAAGTAACTCAATCTTCAAAATTAGCTTCAAAGTTCTCCCAGCTTCTCTATGCTTCGCAGCGTTATTGTTTCCATGAATTTCGTGATATTTTGTACTAGTACAAAATGTAGAATATCGAAGGTAACGATTTCAACCAGAATCAATGGCCCCAAAACATTTTTTAGTTATTACAATTATACGTCGTATTAATATTTTTTCTGAGAAATCTCAGGGTATTCACTGAATACCTTGAATACCCGGACGCTACGCCACTGGTACTTATGTGTAAAATCTTGCGACAAACCAAATTTGATTATTACGAAAACTTAGATATTAAAGACTTAGATCTTTAATGACTATTTTATTAACATTGCCGGCCCATTGGGAATAACTGAAACTAAGGATAATATGATCTATGCGGAGAGATTTCTATATCCTGTTGAAATTGCCATCAGAAGGTATGCCATGAGAAGGTATGCCATCAGAAGGTATGCCATGAGAAGGTATGCCATGAGAAGGTATGCCATCAGAAGGTATGCCATGAGAAGGTATGCCATCAGAAGGTATGCCATGAGAAGGTGTGCCATGAGAAGGTATGCCATGAGAAGGTATGCCATGAGAAGGTATGCCATGAGAAGGTATGCCATGAGAAGGTATGCCATGAGAAGGTATGCCATCATGCCATGAGAAGGTATGCCATGAGAAGGTATGCGATGAGAAGGTATGCCATCAGAAGGTATGCCATCAGAAGGTATGCCATGAGAAGGTATGCCATCAGAAGGTATGCCATCAGAAGGTATGCCATGAGAAGGTATGCCATCAGAAGGTATGCCATCAGAAGGTATGCCATGAGAAGGTATGCCATCAGAAGGTATGCCATCAGAAGGTATGCCATCAGGAAGTACAGTCTTATCTTTCTGTAAGCTCATAGCGGAGAGTGTACGACCACCCTCAAAATTTCAGTTCCAACTGGTTATAACTGAAAACGTTTTCCAAAAACTACAAGAACTAAAACAAAATAAGGCGTCCAAATAGGATTCTAAAGGAATATTCTGATATTTTCTTTGATACATTACAAAAAGTCTTCAACCAATCCATTAATAACAAAATGTTTCTTTCTGAATTAAAGGAGGGTAATGTTACGGCCATGAAGCTAAATTCATTGCAGAAAGGAAATTATCGGCCAAAAACTATTGTACCTCCAAAATCAGAAGTCTATGGGCGTATGAGAAAAGAGCAAATTGAACTCCTCAATAGATCATGAACTCCTCA